ATTGCTTTATCTCTCCCCCCCCCCCCCCCCCCCCCCCAAATGATGCATGAACATGCAGAGTTACAGCAACACCTACTGGTAGTCATGAATAAATGCAACAGATAATTTCCTTAGCTCTGATGAAGTGATGTATTCATAGGAAAACTCACCAAAAATGAAATCAAATGCATTTCATCTCTGTCCTGTTGTGTTTCCTGTTCCATCCCTCCTTTTAATGCTGTTCATGCTCATTGATAGACTTGTTCCGTCTCTAAGATAAAGATAAAGCAATCTTTGATGGCTTCTTGAAAATACATCACACAAGCCAATGAGCAAAGTCAATGTAATGCAAATATGTATAGATGTATATATATACATCTATACATACAGTATATAGATATATATATATGCATATATACGTCTATCTATACATCAATCTATCTTCTTGAAAATACAAAATAAACCCATCAGATCATATTATGTACAGAATTGAAATGAATCTTCATGGTGCCAGTGATATTGTTTGCATCATTGTAGTGTATGAGCTTGATACTGACTAATCTCACTCCTCATCTAATCAGCGACATATCAGTATGTGCAACAAACCCTCGTCCTTGTAATAAAGATGATGAGCATCAATCTGTTTTCTCAAGTGTGCCACTCTTCAGTTTCAAGATCAATTAGCATCACATGTGCAGGGACGGTGGAGTGCTATTTCCTTCAGTTTGGAAAGAGCACATCGCTGACACAGAAGACTGAGCTGCGGTCACGCTCCCACATGAGGATATGGACGTGAATATACCAGGGATCTAACAAGCCAAGGTAATTCAAGCAAATACCAAGCACTAGGGTGAACAGAGCCTTTTGCCCTTTGATAGGCACAGTTAACTCAGAAGTGCAGAAACAGAACAAGGCTGATTTTGTGAAAAACGTTTCAAATGGCAGCCTGCTGCGTCTAAGTGTTTACCTGTTGTTTTCATAACTTAATGGAAAAAGGTTAAAGAGTGTCCTTGGATGCTTTTTTTTTTTTTTTTTTAATTAAAGATGTTTTGTACAGCTTGGCGAACCGCTTTAATTCAATTTCAGAACATTGAGGACACTCTCACTCTAAATACTTAGAAAAGTGAGAAGGTTCAGGATTAAAGAAAAAAAAAAGTTAATCCCTACTATTCTGTTGGAGTAATAATACTACCAGATGGTGCGGGAAATGTATTTTTAATTTGCCCACTTAAGATAATAAATTCAAAGTCTGTGAAGATTATTGATTCACACAATGTTCTCTGTGCGCTTAATAGGCATGTCATTAAATTTTCCACAGTGTCCTACACCTCTGCACCTTATTTTACTTTGAAATATTGTGATTTCATCACCGACCTTGTTCCCCATATAGCGCACCTCTTTGGGCATTTGGCAGGAAATTGGATTGGAGTGAGGATGTGCTGTAATACAAGATGAGGCCTACGCACCAGATTCTTATTATGCCCTGATTTCAATTGTGTAAAAATAATACAAAAGAACAACGGTTTTCTATTCATAGACATATGCAGTGACCTATGGTGTGTGAAAACTGAATTATCAGAGGCCATCCTTCATCACTTCAACACATAAACGCAAGAGAGTGAAGAGACCCTTGAAACACACTGTCATATTCTGCATAGGTTATCGGGCTGCTGCTATCTCTGCAGCAAAGGACAGAGGATGTGGGCATGAAAGAAAGAAAGAAAGAAGAGACAGAAGCAGATTGTTTCTGTATCTGTATGTGAACATTTTTCATTCACACATTTGCCATTTGAATGCTCGCCATCCTCTCCGAAGGTCATGGGTGATTGTACATGAGGCTTCTTACGTTTCACCTGCCGCAATGGTAGCTGTGAGGTCGGACGTCTGAATCAACCAGAAGAGAGGAAACTAGAAGCTCGGCAGGGGCCACTGCATGTTCACCAAACAACAACGGGATGCAGGCCTTTTGTATTTATTATCTAAGATGCAGAAGGCACAATAGAAGCAGGTTGTTTGGTTTTATTGGTCATGTGCAGACAGGGCTATCTACTGAGGACCCTCTGTTACATTTTACAATAATAATAAGTATTTGATGGGATAATTCCAGCTTTAATTTATTCAAAGTTGACTTTAAGGCCAAGACAGTAAGAGTAACTAACTAATTAAGTTTGTCTCTTTCACCAGCGAGCACCGTGACACACACCAGCAGGCCACCAGAGGGGTCGACGAGACTCTGCAGATCTTCCTCTGGGTTGCTCTTCAGATCCAAAACTTTGCTTGTCGTTTTGAAGTGGGCGGAGACCTTCCTCTTCACTTCAACCAATAAGCGAAAAGTTGTCAGTGATGCGAAAAGTCGGTGGCAGAAGTGCGGAGCGATAAACTGGGTGTCAATCAGCGGAGAGCGTTCACCGGTGAGCAGCTACACACGGCGCAAGGTGACTGAACAAGCAGCGTTATTTTCTCAAAACAATGTGCATGATTTCTCCTCATGTTTGTTGACATTAATTGAATTTATTTGATACGCTCTGTTGCGTTTCACGGCGTGGTCGCTGCTTAATTAATTGGTGTTTAACTAAGTCCTGGCCTCTATTGCCTTTTCATCAGAGTTGTGCCGTTTGCTTGTTCAGGAGATACAACGATGGAGTGGCGCCAGCAGACCAGTGTCAGCTGTGAAGACGCGTTCAACGAGGCGCAACGCTGGATTGAGGTACACGGTTCACTTTCGCCTTCAGTTTCATTCGTGCGTTTGTGCTCCTCTTCACTTATCAACGCGCAAAACAACCGTGAAGATTTGGCCAGTCAGTCTAGTAACCCCTCGTGGAGAGGGGAAATGTTTTCTGTCACTCAGTTGCAGACATTTCAGCCATTTAAAACGAAAAAACAAACAAAACACGTGTATCATGAGAATTTAAACTGCCTAAAGACAGTTGATGCTGATATTCTAAACGGCTCTGACTCATTGCTTACATTTGCAGACTTATCTTGAGTTCAAATGCGAAATATACCTCGATAAGACTCCTGTAGGAGTTTGCCTCCTGACACAGTGAGCCCTTTGTGAGAATCTTCTGTGGTTGCACAGATAAGTGATTTGACTGCAGCACTCACAGAGCCTCAGAGGGAAATGCACATTGAATTGAAGCAAGGCAGATAATAAAGTAATGTGAGGTTTGTTCTTTACTGTCGCTGTCTCAATCTCCTAGTGTCATAAAAGCTCTTCCAGGGACAGGTGTTGCAAATTAGCATCCGCTAAAAACACTATGATACTTTCATCTGAAAGCTGTTTTCGGCTTGTCTATTTATATTGTATCTTTCCCCAACTGATAAACCATGAATACAAAATAAAAATAAATAAATGGTGTTTGTCAACTGAGATGTGGTGCAGGCAGGTTACTCCATGCACACATTGTGGAGAATGTGGTTTTTACAGCAATGCATTTTCTGGGTTGTTCCAGGCTGCTGCTGCTGCCAAAACATTGTTGAAGTTGTAATCCTCAAAATCATAACCAATGAATACAACTTGTAGACTGTGGGCACTGAATGTTGACCAACTCTAAATGGGACCATTAATGTCAATTGTGTCTGAGTGGATCATTATGAGAATCCTGTCCAGCGCGCTGTTGGCAGAAAGCCCATGCCAATTTTACCCCTATTCTCCTGCACTGACGGATGAAAGGATGGATGAGGTGTGTGTTTGTGTGTGAGTGAAGCAAAGCATGCTGCTTTCAAGGAAATGGTAAATGGTTTCATGAACTCTCCCTTGTGCAAAACAACATCAGGAACGTGTTGGCACCAATGTTCAGTGTAACAGATTGGAGGATAATAAGCTTCCATGCATTCAAGTGTCCAGAAATGGTTTCGGTTCATCATTGGCACAGTACCAGCGGTAATTGCACGTAAATGTTTGCTCAATCCCTACTGGACTTGAGAAGAAATGAGAATGGATTGGCATCTTCTACATTATGTAAACGGGTAATTTAGTCTCTGCTGAAAGGGATTAGCACAGTGCCTACACTACCGAACCAGAGGAATTCATCCCTAAATGTAAATGTAGTGCAATTTACCTTTTTTAATTTACCTATAGGACTGCAGCTTACAATTCTTTACATTATTGATTTATTTGCTCAATTAATTGTTTTGTCGGGGAATCCAAAGAGATGCACTTTAATCTCCCGTGTGACATATCGTCACATTTGAGAAGCTGGAACTAACAAATGTTTGACATTCAAAAATAATTATTCAGTTATCAAAATAGTTGCAGATTTATCGACTGGTCACTGCAGCTCCAAATGTTACGTTGATCTGTAGGCCTCATGTCTTGGAACTGGAGCACATGGATTTAGTAACGATGCTTGTATTTACATCCCAGTTGAGAGAATTCTTTGATCCTTGTGAAATTTGGGAAACTCCCTTTTTAGCAAAAACAAAGTTTACAAGTCACACACATGGTTGAAATTCATTGAATAAAATTACCAATTAAAGTTGTGGTGCCATAGAACAGACGGTATCTTGACCAAGTGATTGTGTTTGATTGTGTTAACCTGGCGCTGCTTTGTTTGTCTGATTCCACTGAGAAGCCTCCGCTCGGTGCCCAGTTCTACCCAAAATGAATTGTGATTGTGGATTCCCGGGGGGGACTAATTAGTGAGAAGAATAGCCTTTTGGGGCCCTCTGTTAGTTGTGGAGCTGAACCTTAATAGCCCCATTTTTATGTCCTCATTACAAAGCCCACTTTGCAGTATGCTTGCTTCCACCATGTAAAATCATTTAGTTTACATTTTTTTTTTTTCTTTGTTTTGATGGAAAACATATTTGCTGTTTTTTGTGGGAATGTTTGTTGAGCCCACTGTTTTATTCTGTAGATATTTTGTGATTATATGCATAGAGCCTTGCTTTTGTGCAGTAGTTGGAAGGTTTTTCAGCTGAATCTTAACTGTATCCAGCTCACTTAATTTACTTTACTTTACTGTTGAGAACTACAAAACAGGGGAGTCTTTTCACTGTGGGCTGAAGAATGACTTTAATTAACTTCCACCAGGACCTTGTTTTCCTAATTTTTGCCATAGTTATGTTTTTTTCCCCACTAACAGCCACTGAACAGCTTTGTGTATAAAGTGCATAAAGGACCAAGTCATTCTTCAACAGTGAACCAAGCCCTTTAATTAAAATAGTTTTAACACATGTAGAAACCTCACTGCATTGTTTTTCTACAGTTCAATACTATGTACATGTACTATGTTTACTATGACTTTTGTTAATACTTAAGCAGTTTGTGAAGCCAATTAGGGAACCTGTATAAGATATAGCAGGGTTGGATTTATGATGCTGATACTAATCAAGGATAGATAGATAGATAGATAGATAGATTGAATGAATAATGAATTGCAATGATGTTTAACAGTTGAAAATGATCAGGGCTCTCTGGTGGACTCTGGAATGGCGGCATTATTTGTAATTTCTGCAACCATATCTGTCATTTTTTTTTGATTACATTTCTTGATGCCTATCAACACATTTTTTTTTTAGGAAGTGACTGGAAAATCGTTTGGCTGCAACGACTTCCGTGCTGCCCTGGAGAATGGAGTCCTGCTTTGCGAGTGAGTAAACCTTTTTAGGATGTCACGTGTTACTTTCAGTAAATGTGACATGACTGAGGGAACCTCTGGTTAGAGAGCATAGTTGCACTCTGGTGTGGCCTCTGTGTCGGTAAACCTGCGTGTAAGGTAAGCATAACAACAATGCATATCCAAAGAATGAAATTACATGTTGTATAAACCATCAGATCTATTTTTGTACCATCTTCTGTGGAGTGTAAGAATGAGCCCTTCTCTTCTAAGTAACTACTGAACTTTATGACATCAGCCTGTAGCTGCAAAAAAACAATGAGGCCAATGAATGCAGGTTAGCCCAGATGTCTAGTTAGCTTAAAGCTCTTGGATATTTGTCTAACATACAATCAAACCGGTTTATGAACTGGTTTTTATTGCATTTCCTTTTTTAATGAAATGTTCTTGTTGGAAGCTAATGTCGCTATTAACTAGCCGTGCTCTATTTAGCTTATTTTGTGGAACGGGACCCTGACGATACGACTATATATTGTTTCTAAATACTAAAAACTGGAATATTCAAAAACTGTCTGTGCTTCTTATAGCTTGATCAACCGGTTGAAACCTGGCATTATTAAGAAAGTAAACCGGCTTTCTACTCCCATCGCTGGCCTGGTGAGTGTTAGGTGTGTGTGTGTGTGTGTGTGTGTGTGTGTGCGTGTGCGTGTGTGTGAGAGAGAGAGAGAGGGAGAGGGAGAGTGTGTGTAACGGGTAGCTTGGTGGAGTGGTGCAGGCGGCCTTGAGTGTCAAGCAAGTACATAAGAAAATAAAAAAGGCACCTGCTAGCCAGGAAGTTTTGAAGCGTTTTTGTGGTTTCCTGTTCAAGGCACTGAGAGACAGTGTTGCCACAGTCTGAACTGATTCTGAAACTGCACTTCAGCGCGACAGCCCAACTGCTGATGTTTTTTAATGTATTTGGCATAAATACAGATTTTTATTTATTTGGGCTTCAGGCTGGGTTTTTGATGGCAGGTTGAATTGCCAAAACTGCCCAAAGCAAAGGGAGAAAGGCATGAAAGATGCATTTCCACCTTCCATCAGGGGCCAACAAACAGAACGAGCACAACAGTGGATGCTGGACTGAAGGTAGTGATGGTAGGTGTGAGGTGCAGATGCAGCAGAGAGTCTGCAGTTACTTTGAAATCCTAAGGCACCCCACTTGTGGTTTTGCATGTTTTACCCAGCAACTAGAAAGTAAATACAGGCTACTTTACATTACCGCTGACATAACCTATAACATTGGCTACTATATTGTTTTTTTGTGATTTATGTTATCTATAAAAGGTTATTAGAACTAAGTGTGTGTGTGTGTGTGTGTGTGTGTGTGTGTGTGTGTGTGTGTGTG